TGTAGTGAGGTGGATGTGCTTCTTGGGCGTGAAAATGTAGTCGATTTGGTTGTAGATTGGTACAACATTGCCGGTGTTTTTGTCGAGCCTTTGACCCTGCCATGTCGTGATGTGGCTTGCTTTGTGGCCGAACCTGGTGTTAGTCGCTATGAGGTCATGCGATTCGGCGAACTCGACGAGAGCTTGCCCGTTTGGGTTGCGTCTACCGCGCCCAAATCGCCCGACGCATTGTGTATTGGGTATATTTACACCGATCTTGGAGTTGAAGTCACCTGCGAGAAAGAGCACTGACTCCTCGTTGATCGTCTGCAGTGTCTTTTCCGGTTGATCGTAAAATTGGTCTCTTTCTTTCTCGCCTGTCTCGTTGGTTGTCTTGACTTGTGTTGGAGCGTAGACATTGATGAGTTTTAGAAGCGTACGCTTCGTTAGACGGAACGTTGCGACGGCGATTCGATAACTCACTGATTTGAATGTAATTAGTCGTGTCGCCCAGTATTTGCTCACTGCAAAACCGAGGCCGTAGTGACTTTTTCCGCTGGGAAGTGTGATGAGTCTGTAGCCATCTATGTTCTCGTCGGTTTGAGTGTTGATCTTCGTCTCTTGCAGGCAGCAGATGTCTGCCTGATAGTTCAGTAGATCCTGGATCAGCTGCTCTTTCTTGTGTTGTTGTTTGAGGCCGCGAACGTTGAAAGTGGCGATTCTTGTTGCCCTTGTTGTCCCCATGACTTTTTGATAGACTTTAGTACAGTTGCCTGTACTTGAGATTTGTCAGCGTCTCAAAGTTTAAATCCATACGCAAGAGTCTCACCCATGATGAAAGTCGTGATCTAGATCTACAACCAAAGGAAGAATTCAATAAATTTAAAGATTCTCAGATCAGTAACAATACTTAAAGCATTTATTACCTTATTCTTACAAAAGGTGCTTGTCTTGAATATGATATCGTCATAAGGAACAGTTCACCTTCTACTGATTCCGTTTTCCTACAATTACTTTCTCGCACGCACCATGTTTTGAATACTTCTCCATTCCTCGCCAGTCGTCTGATTGATATGTTGAAAGCACTAATTATTTCAGATGCATAGCTTTTGAAATATCGATATTACTATGGTTGCAGCAGAAAAACAGTCTGTAATGGTTTCTTTTATCAATTACGATATTTGAAAACTGGTATATCATCCAATTCCATCGATATTAATTCTTATAGAGCGATGATCGATTTGCTTCTTTTTTCTATACAATGTTTACAATACATTTCCAAAGATGAGAAGTGGACTGAGTCGTGTTTTGTCGATGTACTGCAGATGATATCATCGAAGGAACTAGTAGCCATTGATAATCTATTTATTCAAGCAACCCAGACAGAAATATTGAAAATTATTTTGGACGAATATGGTTTAAAAACTATATCATTGGCCGAATCTTCAAATCGTATGTTTAAGGATGCTCTAAATGGTTTAATAAAAAAACATCGAATCGATGATATCGTATTCATTTATCAACACAGTAAAATTGTGAAATTTCTTTTTAATACGCCAACTAATATTCAAAAGATTATTCGTCTAATGCTTGCAAGTCGAACGGTAAGGCAATTATTTGATATGCTCATGGACGAAAAATCATTGGAAGTTTGGTTAACAAGTAAGATAAAAGATTTGATAATTTTTTGTTAAAAAGAAAAGAAAATCAACTTAAAAAATTATTACATATATCTCCGTCTCTCATCCATACATTGGATTTGGACGGAAATGATATATTATTATATATCTGTCTCAAAGTTGACGGTCGTCGATACGTAATAGTCAAATTTTTAATTGAAATGGGATGTGACCCACATAGACAAAATATGAAAAGTGAAACTTTTATCGACGCAGTACAACTGGAAAGAAATATACTATTACTAGAAAGTTTAAGGGCGCAAGGAATAGTCAACGTCGATCGTGTGTCTGGACAAATAACAGTTCATCCGCGTGGCCAACCATCATCATAAGTAATCTGTACGTTTTATCGTAGTTAACTAGCTTTACTAGTGCCTGAGTCTGTAGATCTTTGTGAACAAATGATTTGAAAAGTTTTATTTGAATGTCAGCATCGTGCTTTATGATTATATATATACTGTTACTGGCACTATCTCGTTAAAAGTTAAATTTATTCTCATTCAAGCGTTTCTCGTCGGACAAGTTACTGGTAACACATCATCGATTTAATTTCGTTAAGTAGTTTTATTACAAGAACTTATACATACAAAGAAACTTATATTTAAATAGTTTTCTTTATGGAAATGGGAGAGCTTTGTTTGCTCTATTCGATGCTATCCTTTGCTTTGAAATAAGTTTGAACGATTACTCAAAATATAGTTCACAAGAACTGGTCATTTAATCTGTCCTACCCGTTCCACATCGATTGAAGACATCCCGCTTTTTTATTTCGAAAAACTTGCTTCAAATTTTTGAACTTGCATTGATTTCATTGATTGAGATTATAATTTTTTCAATCGTATCACTTGATCATTATAATATCATTAAGAAATTTTCGAATAAAATGTATGCCAAAATAAGTGAGATCAATAGTTGGATAATCGCTTCCACTAATAAGTTTCGTGGCATGATAAAAGGGTTTTGATATCTGCTGTAATAATAATAACATATTTCAATCATTAGATGCGATTTCAAAATGTTTCAGTTTTTTCGATTGTTCATATTTGATTCTTAATTCATGTTCTTCATTAAACAATTTAGTAACGATAGATTTCAATTGCAAATAACTATCAGTCTTGTACTAAGTAAAGTTCCTTCTCGTACAGACGTCTCCCATCAGTGTTCTTTGCTTTTTCAATTTTGTAAGTTTAACAACAAATAGAGTGATAGAATGCTTGAATTTTTAAGCATTTTGATCAGTGTTCGACATTGGTTCAATGGAATTAATATGGAATCTTCATCATGAGAATAGTATTCATTTAAATTTTGAGCCCAATTATCAGTTATAACATCATTGTCAACTATATCTCCAACTTCCGATGCTTCATCACTCGGTGATTCACTTTCTTCTTGTTGCTGATCTTGGTCTAAATTTCCTAAAATGTTTAAAAATGACGTGATGAAATGAATCAATGTCAAAGTCAAATTTATTTAGCCCATGGTCTTAAAACTGGCACGGTGATGATAAAAAGTTTAACGAAAGAAACTTTTGCCGTTTAAAATACCTAGAAAGATCATCTGTCAAATATTGTTGCTGGAATGATACTCAATGTATAAGCTCAAATAAACTATGTGATTGTATTAATGACTGTATTTTCGGCGATGATGAGTCAGTATGCTAGTGGGGATGCAAGCAAAAGAACTTTCTATGTAATAACTCGACTTATATTCCTAAACATCAGCGTTGTGATGATATTAGCAATTGCCGAACAAAAGAAGATGAAATGTTTTGTGATTTATCAGATGAAGTAATATTTGAAACGTCCAAATATTTCGATTTCACCAATTATATAGAATATTCTTCAAACTGTAAAGCAGGTACAGAGCTTACAACTTTCTTTTACTAATGTTTTAGAAAAGCTTTAGAAGTAGATAGTGGAGAGTCTTCTGACAGAAATCTAAAGTTGGACTGAAACGCTACTGCAAACTTAAAGTGAAAGAAAAAATTGCAATTCGGATGTAGAAGAATTACACGTGAGGCTTGTTTCTATCGTCTACCCAATAAAGCACGGAGATACCACGACTTCGGTCTTCTCATTCCACTTCGATTCTTTATCACAGATCTATATAAACAGTTAACACATGAACACCAAAACTATCGATATAGCTTACTAGCTAACTGTAATCCGGTTTTCTGGATCCATCGTGGACAGGCAATCAACGTTGAAGAATTAAACCTAATCCGTGGTAGTGTCAGTGAATTTATTCTAATGAATAGTTTTCTTTCAACTACTACGAATCGCGAAAGTAGAATTTTCTTTGCTGAAGCTAATATCACAGGAAGAGCGAGTGACATGCATCTTATTCGAATTTGAAATCGACACACGTCTGAGAAATTGTAAACCATTTGCTCCTGTTCAACATCTGAGTCATTTTAGTGATGGCCTCTAGTTCTTCTTTGTGCAAGAGAGGTAGATGACAGAGCTGAAGTTAGTTTTTCGATATATATTTTAGTTATTAAATAATGAGTCTCAAAAGTTGAGTATATTGATTCCAAACTTGCTTCAAAACTTGAAAATTAATCATGACTATGTATTGACAAATGTTTAGTTTGCATTATGCGGAGTGATTCGCTTCATTAACCCTTTAAGTCCCCAAGGCTTCAACGCTTGGTTTTAGCTCAACCGCTCATGAAAATGGAACATATGACACCTCTATATGACTTTCTCATGCTTGAAAAAGTTACTTTTCATTTTTAAAAAAGTTAAGCTTTTAGAATTCTCTACAACCGATATAAGATCAACTTTTCCCAACAATGCTTCCTTAGGTTGTTATAATGATAATGGCAATGCCCATTCAAAATTTGAATTTGAAAGTCCAATGTCCATTATGGACATTGGACTTTAAAGGATTAAATAAATTATTGAACGACTAAATAAATTTGTTTTACAACCGCCTTTTGAGAATAACCCTTGAAAACTTGAACTTATCCTTACTATGCATGCAGTCCTAGAAATTGCCTTTCTGTAACTTCCACTACCCGAAAACTAGTTTTCAAGGTTCAAACTTTTGTGTAACTTAAACACTGTTGTAAAATAAATTTACTCAACACTACAAAGTCAAGTTTAAATATCAAAATTATTAAGTTCGATTGCCGTCTTAATTTTCTGTACTGATCTACCTACTGGTTGTAAGTAGATCCAGTTTCCACTAAAATTTGAACATATAATGATATGGTAGCGATTTAAGCAAGAACAAAGCGCTCTAGTATTTAGACATAGAAGCCATTTTGTATATTTATTGGCTAATGATGAGTAAATTGAGTATGAGTAGTGATTATAATCTTAGAACTAATTCATAATAATTGAACATGAATGATGTGTAGAGAAAAAATAGAAGAAAAAAAACTAACGAAGAAAACAGATACAAACAAAATAAATTTTACATATTAGTCATAAGAATTATTTTTTTTTATAATAGTAACTGCGATACCTTTCTTGACCACGGGTCATATAATTTTGCGCACTGATTGTTGCTTCACAACTGTAGGTTGCTCGTTGTTGACCATGTTGCATGTGCATATTGGTCATTGTGGAGGCAAACTGAACACGATCATTATATTTGCGTTCAAGATCTTGAATGAGTTGTTGACATAATTGATCATTAACCGATATCGACGATTTAATTTTGTCAATTACATCTTTGAGCACTTTTTCAGCCTTTTCCATTTCATTAGCGTTTGCATATTTTACGGCTTCTTTTAGGGCACGAGCAGCATAGCAGCGATTTCTTTGCACATCCAAAGCATAGTTAGACGCTATATCGGTGGGTAAACGTGATCGATTCAAACTGAATGACTCAGATTCGGTATTCAACTGTTGACCACTACCGGGATCCAAATAACGAAGTGACACTCTACCTAAACAGAAATGACGTAAACGAATGCTCATTAAAACTGCTGACCACACTTAAACGAAGTCAAAATTACCTACCTATAGCTTGTTGTTCTTGTTCTTGATCTACTTTGGGGACATGTATTCGAAAGACTAAATCTCTCGTTTCATCAGCGTTTAAATCATTTAACGTAACAGTTGTAGTTTGATTTGGTAGTTGATTTGTGTGTGGATAAGTGGAAAGGACTTCTGTTATTTTGTAGTTTTCATCGAATTCAATTTTTACTTCCAATTGTTGACCGATGCAGGTGAAGAGTCCACCAAGTGCAGCAGCAAAAGCATCAGGGATTTTATCCAATTTCTCAATAAATGTAAATGTTCCATGACCTTGTTCTGCGATTTGAGACAATACATGAGCCCAATGATCTTGACCATAACCAAATGTGTGAATTGTACAACCTAAAGAGAATATAAATCGTTTGAATGATACTCAAAAGCGGTTTCTTCCTTACCGATTTAACTGTTAAATCGTTTTTTCAATGAGGCCTAGTGGATTATAGGTTATCGACTATGCTGATTGCGAATATGACCATGGCAATTGTCTATAGGTCTCCAGAGACTGGTTTTCTGGAAAATCAGTTTTTCAAAAACTCTAAAAAATAATAACAGCCTTTCTTAATAAGACAAAATTATAGCCCGCACATTTCTGATTAAAATGAGACATCTCCCAGCTATATACAACCTTTCTTTACAAAGTTATAGAATATACAAGAAAAGCCCTAAATTTATTTCTTCTTATTTCTGTAGCGTTCAGCTGACTATAAACATTTAGGGCTTTTCTTGTAAATTCTATAACTTTGCAAAGAAAGGTTGTGTATAGCTGGGAGATGTCTCATTTTAATCAGAAATGTGCGGGCTATAATTTTGTCTTATTAAGAAAGGCTGTTATTATTTTTTAGAGTTTTTGAAAAACTGATTTTCCAGAAAACCAGTCTCTGGACACCTATAGACAACTTTCATGGTCATATTCGCAATCAGCATAATCGATAACCTATAATCCACCAGACCTCATTGAAAAAACGATTTGACAGTTAAATCGGTTCCCTCGTTAATTAACACTGCAAGCAATTTTAGTAGAATTTCTGCATTACACAAGGCAAGCTGTGATACACATCGTACCTTGTGGTATTCGTTGAATAAGATCTGAATAATCACATAACTGATTGTCTTGACCATCCGTAAGTAAAAGTAAACTTGTTAGAGGATTTTTTGTTTTTCTTTGATTCAACAAGTTAATACCCATTTGCAATCCACTCCCAATATGTGTGCCACCGCCAGCATTTAGACACGCATGTGTTTGAATTTTATTCTCAACAACCACTTTCTTATCAGTTGTCATCATTTTTAATCCACCTAGTACATCATTCGCCACCGTATCAAACGATATAATGGATAGACGATCAGTTGATTTTAATTGTTCAACGATATAACTCAATGTTTTTTTCAAAAGAGCTATTTTTTCTCCTTGCATGGAACCACTTTTATCCACAACACAAACTAAATCTAGTGACGTACGAACATCATCTTCACTTTCGCCACTATCAGTGGGTGCCTTTAATGTTAACATTGCAAATGTATCTCGTTCATCGTCGCAATGTACATTTACAAACTCTAATATTGTAGATACTTTAATCAGTTCAGTCATACTTTTATTCTGTCGTGTGGCTTGACGACGAGCTCGTTCGGCTGCTAATTCGTTGAGAGCCTTTTCGTCAACCAAATCTTCACCTATTGTGTACAAACTGTCCTAAAAGTAAATTAGAATGATTTAATATCATACACAGAGGAAAGTAAGAATTCCTCAGAATGGTACTATGTGTTAAGTTAATAAATTTTGCCTACGTTTGTGTCGAGCTTCTTTGGTGTAGATATGGACGATCGTTGAAATGTATTTCCCACCACACTGACAACTGATTTAACTGCGTTATCAATAACATTTAGAAATGAAAATCTTGACGTTGTTTGTTGCACGGGCGTTGAAGGAGGAGCTGTAGTTGATAGAATTGTAGAAGATACAGGCTGAAGAACTTGAATAAGTGACTGATCAATTGCTGTTCTGCATAACGGACATTCATCAATCTTTGACTTAATCGTATTTGTTATACATGAAAAATGAAACGTATGGGAACATGATGTTGTGTATAACGGTTCACCTTGTACCATAGGGCTTAAGCAGATCGAACATACATCCGAAGTCGGTATTTGACCACTCATTTTAAAATTTTTACCATTAAACTATGAGAAATACAGACTATATATCTATATATATATATATATGAATTATGTAATTGCAACATCATGTTTAAACTATATACGTGTCATACACATCGACATGTTTGAGTCATCGATAGAACAGGTAAAGTATGAGTCACATATAGTTTGTTCTATATATAACAGAATGAGAATTAAGAAAGAGAAAAGCAACTTTTTTACCGCAAATATTTTAATGAGGAGTTATTTATGGGTTTTGTTGAAACAATACATGGGTTCTTTTTAAATCATACTGAATCATTAGTTAGTGATTCCACTATTTGTCAGCGTTATTTCATTCTAATGTATACGTTTAAAGTAGGGGTGTCACTTCTGTTCTTTTTTACCAAATGATAAGTAATAAGTAAAATGATGAAAAATTATTACATAAAGAAGTAATAAGTAATAAAACAACAAGATTTATTATCTTTTTATTGGTAATGAGTAATAAATGTTTATTACTTTTATCCGATACTGTAATAATTAATAAAAGTAAAGTAGCACCCCTAGTTTAAGGATAAGGTAAATTTATTTTCTATGTTAATACCATAAAACGTTGAACCGCCTTCAGGAACATACACCTTGAACTAGCGAAAGACGTTTCTTGATGTACGTAGCAAACAAGAATCGTTACAGTCTTTGGCAAGACCCAGTTTGAAGCCGCTTTTATTATATTATGACTTGATGAGACATACAAATCAGCGTTCTCTACATGTTATATTCATGCTCGTTGTCAATGACGTGTGAACACCATATGAAGAGTCTTTTAATCTAGGGTGTCGCGAACAATTTACAAATTATTACATGACACATTTTCAGAAATAAGGGAACAAGTACGTCTCCTCTCACTGTTATATGCCTGATAGTTGTCCTAATACATACCATTCTACCATCATTTTCCAATTACGATGCCGATGGCCATTTTTCGAATAGCTCGAGAGCAAAATGTGGTAGAGACTTCGAGTTTTCACCATTCCAAAGAAGCGACTTTGGGGCACCTTTTAATAACTGATATTAATTCGAAAATATCTTTCTAGGGTAGGTTTTAGAAGAGATCGTTGGAAAAGCAACTCATAACTCAAAAACTTTGAGTACTTTTGTTTTTTTCTCATGGGCAGATAACCCAAAGTATCCTCTTCAAAATGGGAATTAAGGAAGACCTTGATTTTCAGTGGTTCGAGTGTGGTATCCGATTTTCTTGAAGCATCGGGACTGGTATCTAGTGGCTTTAGGGCTACGTATGGTCCGGTCTGATCCCAACTTTTTAGGACCAGCACCGGTTTAATAAAGTGAAGGAGGCACAGAATTTCTTCCGAAAAGATCTGTAAGAAATCTGTTAAAAATCACGCTGTTTTGTGTGCAAATTGAAAATTTAATCTCGTCACAAGTGGGCAGTTGAATTGCGGGAAGAAAAGCTCGTTGCTTAATGCTTTACTAAATAAATACTACTAGAGGCGTCACATTTGCTTTTCTTTCCACATTACTTTTCACTGATAAAGCAGAGAATTATTTACCTTTACCTTAAGAAAAAGTAAATGTCTACCCTTTTACTGGAGAATAGCCAATAATCACATTTACCATCTATCTACGTAAACTGTAGATGAAGATTGAGCTCCTCTTAAGTAAACCATAAATCAACAATTACTATTAGTTGTTCTGCAAAAATCAAAGAAAGTAAACGAATTACTTCAAACGTAGAATAAGAGAGAACGGGTACCACAATCATCGTTGCACATAGTTATCATATCAAATAATTAGTGAAGAGTCAAAAGTTACCGATTGTTAATGTAATTAGTAACTAACAAGTCACTGTTACGTCCCTTTACACCTTACCTATGAGCAAAAAGTAACGGTGGCATACCTACTGAGTTTTATTTGGAAAAAATAAAACTGAATTTATAACTCAAAGACGAGGAAAATGAGAAGTTTTTGGAAGATGTTGTTCTCGTACAGGGTAATTCTTTCGAAAGTGTACCACAATTACATCGACTTTATCCGAATTGTTCGAGAGTAACAGGACTAGTAAAACTTGGGCTACTCATGACGAATATCGCGTTTAAAAAATACTAAAACAACGGCACGGTGGTCATCTAGATCTGTTGGGATCGCATTTTCCAGCAGGACAGACCTTTTGTGGGCATATTCACCATTTTTTTAGTGCTTAGTACTTATATTTAAAAACAATTTTCTTTCAAAAAGAAGTTGATTTGTCAACTGTTTGTAAATCCTAAACGTCAACTGTTGTTTCGAAATGTTTATAAATAACACTGCTCAAAGTAATGTTGTCTCATTCTTTAAATTATCATGGATTTTGTACGACAGCAAAGTCAAAAAGGCGCTTCTATCATATTGTTCAAAGAAAATTGTTTTCGACGTCAACGGGAGGTCAATCCATATAGACCCTACCACCATTACATCGGCCAGAGATGCAGGAAACGAGATATACATTTCCAGGTGCAGCTTTGAGCGCTGATTCCAGTGGTGAAAACCGCAGCTCTCTAGCTGTGTAGGAAAAAAAGATACAGTCAAATACAGAAAGTCGGATATTTTAGCATTTTCCAGCAGAAACAGCCCCTTTTGTAAAACTTCTCAGAACTGCCGCCCCTATCCAAAAATCTTGAATTTGGTCTGCGTGTGTCTGGCGACGGTGCTCAATTTAGTCACCTCGGAGTAACACGGTTCCATGAATTGCAAACTATCTAGAATTTTACAACTTACGACTAACACTGTTCTACCAATTGAGAAACATGTAGAATTTCAGAATCTCTGAACAGCATTATCCCATGAATACTAATATCTCTAGAATTTTACAATTTCAGAGTAACACTATGCGATGAATTGAAAACTATTTAGAATTTCAGAATCTCGGAACTTCAGAGTAGCACTGTTGCAGAGATCGCAATTGTGAAACGCTGCCTTTCTCGAGATTCTAAAATTCTAGAAATTGTAGGGTTCTGGCTTTGTATATCATCCTTATACGGTATAACGATTTGATAGCTGTGTAAAAGTACTGTGCATGTATTTGTTACCGTAGTTCACAATGGAAGCGTCTCATGTAGTATTTCGAAGGTTACATTCTTCTCAGAGAGGTGTAAGCGTATGCTTGCCTTATTTTATTTTGACTCTTGAATATCTTTACAGTTTGACATTATTTGTTGTTGAAGAGTTCGCCATAGATTTATCCAGTGAATTTAGTGTTTTTTACGTGTTCCACGATTAAGATTGGATTATTATTGTTGTAAAGTGATGGGTATGTAAACGAGATCTAAGTTCTTTTTAGTTCTGATTTAGTTTCCCTTACAGATAGCAAGATTAAAGATCTGAGAAGTGTAACGATCACCGACTTCAATCGCATTCTCAAAGATTATCCAAAATTAGACAAATTACCTAGTGTGGTAATTCGTCGACCATAGACCACCATTGAAACAGGATATTCAGCAGCAGTCAGTGAATATACGTTCAACAAATGATCAATTGGTAAACCAAAGCTATCCCGTGAACTAGAATTCTTACAACAGTTGAGAATGATCAAAACAGAATTCCCTTGAGAAACCCCCTTGGGAAACTCACGTTATCCAACAGACAATATAATTTCAACGAGTGACTGATCAAAACAGGATTCTCCTGAGAAACTTCAATGGACAACTCAAGTTACCCAACTGATAGCATAGTTTCAACGAGTGAATGATCAAAACAGAATTCTCTTGAGAAACTGTTGTTATTTCATTTTAAACTGTTGTTCAGATTATAGCTTGTGTCATATACATATTTTTTTATATGTGTTCGTCGATGTGTTCTCAAAATAAAATAAGGCAAGCATACGCTTACACCTCTCTGA